GATAATGCTAAAACATGGATGGACCAAAAAAAACATTATGCTAAGGAAAAGAAGCTAGTCCCAAAATACTACATATTGCATGATTCCCTTTATATAAAATGTCTAGAACAGGCAAATCTATGCAAACAGATTAATGGTTGTCAAGATAGAGAGATGGGTGTGGGGTAATTGCTAGTGGGCATTCGGTTTCTTCTTAGGATAATGAAAATGTTCTAAAATTGATTGTAGTAATTGTTGCACTCTGTAGATATACTAAAACCACTGATGTATTTTAAATGAATGAATTTTATGGTACTTAAATTATCTCAATAAAGATGTTAAAATGACAACAAAAAAAGCTGATCAGTGGTGTGGAGAGACTACGCATCCTGCTCCAGATCACTTATATTCCAGATGTCTTCCTGGCACTGTTTACACAGCACAAACAAATAGGGCAAGAGTTACCTTTCTCCACCTGGGGGGAAACAAAATTATAGTGCGTCCTTAATGACAACCATCTGGCCAGCATGATGCAGGTTTCTGTTATTTTTGGAATGCAATGCTGCAATGTGCTTCAGCCTTCACCTGCTGGACAAGCCCAAGAAGCCTGCAGCTGGCTGGAGTTCATGGCAGCAGCCCTCCTATCAGCTGAGTGGGCAGGAAAAGGACCTGAAACTGCAAAGTAGAAAGCACAGCTCAAAAATGTCCTTGTAGCAAAACATATGCACAACACTGGGTACTCAAAGCCTTCTTCACTCCTGAACTTTTCCCTACTTCCCACCCTCAGATAGAGTTTGTTATTCTAGGTCAAACATACTTTAAATATAGGTATGTTATGAATCAGCTAGAATTATATAATGATCAAGCAGGAAGGACCTTTAAATGTGTTACATAATGGAGCATAAACTCTGAAGTCACTTGGGCAAATTCCATCTCTCTATGACTCAGTGTCTTCATCTGGAAAATGGGAATAATAAAGGCAACTGCTGGCTGGGCACAGTGGTTCATGCCTGTAATCCTAGCACTTTGGGAGGCTGAGGCAGGAGGATCGCTTGAGCCTAGGAGTTCAAGACCAGCCTGGAAAACATAGTGAGACCTCATCTCTACACAATAAAAAATTAAAAAGAAATTAACCAGGTGTGGTGGCAAATGCCTGTAGTCCCAGCTACCTGGGAGACCGAGGAGAGAAGACTGCTTGAGTCCAAAAGTTGAAGGCCATGATAGTGCCAATGCACTTCAGCCTGGGTGACAAAGTGAGAACCTGACTCAAAAAAAAAAAAAAAGGCAACTGCTTCTCAAAACTGCTGCAAATATTAAACAAGTTAATCTGTGTAAAATGCTCAGAAAAGTGCACACATGGTAAGTACTAATAATTGTTTACTATCCTTACAGTTATAAACCAGCAAATCCCATTATTTTCATAGGAGGAAACACTAAAGCTCAGAATGGTTTGTGACTCTGCAGTTGGCAGTGATAGAGATGTTATCAGACTTCAGGTCTCTCTGACTCCCAAACCCATGTTCTAGAGTGTTAATATATAATACTCCTTGACTAACATTTAGGTCTTGAGAGATGCCAAAAATAAACACACATTGCCTAGCAGTATGTCTCACACAATATGGGTGTCTGTAAAATGTTTAGTTCATCCCCTTTTCATCCCACATTTAATCTTCTAACATCTGAAGAGAGGCTATGACACTAAATCCCAGAATGTCTAATTTCTGCCCTTCAAAAGGCAGGATGGCTCAGGACTATTGAAGAAAACACACATAAGCTCCCTCTCTCTCTTTTATTTATTTTTTGGGGCATTTTTCATTGAAGGAGCATTTGAGGTAAAAGAGATTTTCCTTCTTTTTCCACATTCTAGAGGTACACTCATGTAAGCAATTTAGATGTTATTCTCAGGGCTTGATGATGTTTCCAACTTTCAGCAATTGATACCTGACAATTTAATTCAAGAGGCAAGAGAAACTCACAAAATAATTATATGTATTTAGGAAAATACAATAAATGCAGCAAGAAAGATACAAAAATTTAATCAGAAAACTTTCTATACCACACTGCAACCAGAGTAAGTTTTTATTTTTTATTTTTTCAGGATCATCAGATGTTTATAAATTTCATATAACCTTTCGAGTAACCATATTAATAACATATGTATACAAATATAACTTTAGAAAAGATTTAACATAATCAAAATTATAACTGATAACATCAAAGTAAGCCTTTAAACAATCTCATAATTTCTCTTTCTCTCACAAATGCATGTACACGCACGCACACACACACAGACACAATCACATCACAGTGTTAAACCAGCCGATGAGGACCTGTAATATCAGGCCTCCCCCACACCCCTGCATCTCTGTTGGAGCCTCTCTCTTCTAAGCCCTCAGCCAGATGGGTCCTCTTTCCCTTCTTCAAACTCACATGTCTCTATCCTGCTTTGAGGCCTTCACACTGGCATTCCCTGTGCCTGAAAAGTTCTTACAGCCTCTAACTGCACCTCTGCCCTAGCCTCCTACCCAACTAGCATGATTTATCCTTCAGACTCTGCTTAAATTTTTTCCTCAAAGAAGCTTCTCTGACAACCCAGACTAACCTCCTGCTCCATTCCTCCACAATCACACAGAATTGTTACATGCTTCTAACCACTTATCCAATAAGTGTCTTTCTTCCCTACCAGACTGTAGATTCAAGGAGGCCAGGGGATGTCTGCTTTGTTCAACAGCCAAGCACAGTGCCCAGCACATAGTAGGTGCTGAATAAAATTAACACTGTCCTCCAAGGATTCAAAAGATCCAGTGCTAAACCAACTTCCTAACTTCTCCACTCAAATTTGACAAGGCATCCCATACCAAGTTATCAGCAAGACAGAAATACACAAATCACACAGCAGTACATGAGTTTTGTACTACTTTTGGAAAGAAATTCAGAAGGAACAAAACTCTGATTGGGATATGTATTTTAAGGTTACTATGTGCAAAGCTACAAGAAAAAAGTTACTTTTTTTTTTTTTTTTTTTTTAGTTGGAGTCTCACGCTGTCGCCCAGACTGGAGTGCAATGGAAAAAAGTTACTTTTTAAAACAGCTTCAGAAGAACAAAAAGTAATTTGTCATTAACATAAGTTCCTTTTAGGAGACAACTGTCAAAGTGGAGGGCAAAGGAAACAAGATTGCATGTGATCCTTCTAGGCTACTACTGTTCCTTTCCAAGGTACCTTTATCTCCTAATGGAAGAGAATGTGCTGAACCATAATTCTTAGTATATCCGGAAGAGTACCCAACATGTGATGGGCTTCTATGAACAGTATGCTTGTAAGAAGTGGGCACGTGGGTCAAGGGAACAAGCAGCACCTTATAAAGACAGCTGCCTCTGGCAATGGCTTCACTGGCCCTCTTCTTTAGGACTTCCATCCTGGCACGACTCACAGTATTAACTTCTCTTACTTTGGGAAGCAAAAAGTAGATTCTTTTTCAACAGAACAGATGGTATGGGCATCACATGACAAAGATTCCAAGAGATCCCGCTAAAGAATGTTGCCTTATTGAAGGCTATACAAGGACAGTCAGAGGGAAAAAAAAAAAAGCATTTTGCTTTCAGGAAACAGGTATCGTACCAAGGAGAAAGAGAAGAAAAAGGTAAAAAGAGAACATCTGTGTGAAGGACCAGAAACTAAATTTTGGTCAGGGACATATATCTCATAGCTTAGAAGAGCCCTCAAAAGGAAGACTGCCTGATTGAGCCACCTCCCCTTAGGACAGCAGAGTGTTAATCGGCCTCTGCAATCACCAAACCAAAGCCCAGCTCTGGGTTATCCAAATCTAATCTAACTGTGGACATCACTGAAGGTCCTTGACGCAAGGTGTTTTCTTCTAAAAAAAAAAAAACCCTTTCCTCATTCAGTTCCTACCAATGATTACAGAAAAAATAAACAAGCGAATTCACTGCTAACTACTCTACGCAAAAGAATTCTGGGGACACCCGACAGGTGCACTTTAGGCTGGCTGTGACCTCCTCTAAGTCACTGTGCCAAATGATTCTCCCAGACACATCCGTCCTTAAAACACCCAGAGCACCACCACACTACAACCTTTAAAAAAACTATCCCACAAAAGAAAGGATGAGAAAAATCTCTCTCCCACTCTATGAGACATTTCTGGTTTCAAACACATTGCCATTAAAATTTTAAATGCCTAGGCCATTTTCCATAATAGAAAAGTTTCCAGCATACAGTAGGCTTTTATCAAATACCAGTTATACCAATTTAAGAAATGATCATTCTGAATCATCTTTACAGCTCTAGAATAGTGACAAGCTTCTCAAGCTATAAATCGGAAGAGGGGCTGCAAACTATTTTTAAGCTATTCTGTAAGGCAGGGCAAGAAAGCAGTTGCTAATATTTGCACTCATTTTACAGTAATTTCTGAGTCTGAAAAACAAAAAGAACTGCTCAGGGAGAAAACCAAAACCCTGTCTGTGCACACTCTGGAGCTTTGAAACTGTTGAGATGGAAACTCTGACACCTTGGCTTGCACGCAGGTGACTCTGAAGGTGACAAAGGGAAAGTGTCTGTACTGAGGACTTTGATAAAGATCTTACACCTCTGGGATTCCAGGTTACGGTTGATATTCTCCTGAAACCTTCCAACCTAGTGGCGGGCCAGGGGCGTCAGCCAGATACTCCCGGGTGACCCCACAGTGGGGAATCAGCGCCTTCCTCCGGGGACATCGAGGGCACCGAAGTCACCCCGAATCTCAGTCCTGAGTCGCTTTCCTTGGAGTGAAAGGGCAGCTGGGCGCGCACCCAGTCCTCAGAGAGGGCCGGATCCCACGGCAGGGGTGACACGGTGCCGCGCCGGGAGAACCGCTTGGGGAAGCGTGCCGGCTCTGCGCCGGCCTCCGCGGTCTCGGGAGGGGCCGCGACCCGCCCCCCGGGAGGCGCGTCCCGTCGCCGCCCTCCGGCCGCTCAGACAAAGGACCGGCCCCGGGCGCGCCCCCGGCCCGGCGCGGCCACTCACCGCTCAGATAGTTGGTCCACTTGTACAGCACCCCCTCCATGGCGCCCGCGACCCCCGGGCCCCCGCCCGCCGGCGCCCTCACTGTCCCAGGCCCCGGGAGGCTAGGAGCACGGGCAGCAGGGCCATCGCCCGGCGCGGCCCAGACGCCCACTCGCGGCGCCCGGGCCCGCTGCGGGGACGCCCGGCCCGCCTCACATCCTCGGCCCGGGGGCGGGGTCACGGCGGCGGCCTCGGCGCGAGGAGCCCGGCCGGCCGCGGGGCCCACCGCTCACACGGAGGCCTCGGGACCAAGAGGGCCCGAGCAGACGCCCCGGAACCTCCACAGTGCGGAGAGCGAAGCGGCCGGTCGCCGGCGGCGCCACCGCGCACTACCTGAGGCCCCGACGCGCCAGCCCCGGCGCGCTGGCGCATGCCCAGTGCGCCGCTCGCGCGCACGTTCCCAAAATCCACTCCGGGGTTTGGCGGCGGCGCAGAGGTAGCGGGAAAGGCACGCAGGGAAATTGAGTTCTGGGACGCAGGTGTGGGAGCAGGCGACGGATGAGAAGCGCTGGGGGTTGGCCCCCGAGACCGGTGTGGGACACGGTTCTGACTGTAAATGGTGCCGGAGATGGGCAGGTCCCACCTCCTGAGGTTGGGGGAGTGGGGAGGTGGGAGGGGGAGGGTATGTGACCTCTTATGCTACCCCGTGGTTCTAGTTCCCGCCGTCCGATTCTTATTTCAAAGCAGCCTAATTGATCCCACGTATCCAAGTACCCGATAATAGGGGGTGATGACGGAATTTCAGGATGGAATACTGTGAGGCCAGTTTAAATAGGTGTCCAAATTCTAAGGCCTCGCTTCTGAAAGTGGGGGTTTGTCGACCTGGAGCACTGACATCACCCAGGAGCGTGTTAGAAATGCAGAATGTCGTCCCCAGGCCAGATCTCCAGAGTAAAAATCCGCATATTTATTTAACAAGATCTCCAGGGGATTTCTATGCACGTTAAAGTGTGAGATGTTTAACCAGGAAAGCTGGTAACTGTAGATTAAGTGGAAAGAGAAGGTGAGAAAAGTGTAGGATAAGATCCAAATTGCTTCAAGTACATGTAAGACACGCATGCACTAAAATATTAAGATGATTACTTACGGGTGGTGGTGGTACAGGCAATTTTTCTTTCCCTTTAGTGTAAGGTTGTCAGATTTAGTAAATAAAACTACAGAACCATTATTAGTTATTTATCTGGGATTCAAATATAATCCGACTCCTGAATTTTACCTGAAAATCTTACTTTAGTGCTTTCCAGTTTCTTCCACATTGACAATGAATTTGTGTTGCTTTTGAAATTAGGCGAAAAATGTAAAATTAAAAAAATGTAAACTAAGCTGAAGCTGTGTAATTCGTAACCGTGACTACCATTTCTTCTTGAAAGCGGAGGCCTGCACATCCTTATTCTTAATTTACCCTCTACACGAAGGTCACTTAAGGGATAAACTATTAGCAACCATAACACAACGCGGTGCAGTGAAATGAATGGGACCTGTCTTGAAGGCGGAGCTCAACTGCTTTTGGGCCAAAGAACCTTGAGCAGGGCACTTAACCTCTCCTAGGATAAAGTCACTTATCTTTTAAATGGGGAAAAAAGAACCTGCCTCACTGGTCGTACTGTAGTGAGGTTCATGCACCAGGAGCGCGTTTTGTGAACCTTAAAGCATGATGTATGTAAGTCTCTATGCAGTAAGTTAATAAGCAATTGCTAGAGCCTAGGATTGTGGCATCTTTGGGGGTCGCTCCCAATGGGGAGAGTAAACGAGTCTTTCCTGAAACCCCTACCGTTTCACAGGGCCCCCAGACTCTTCCTACCTCGCTCAACGGGGTTTCTTCACAGAGCTGAACCAGCGGGAGGAGTTTCAGTCGGCCCTGCGCCCCACCCTTCTCCCAAAGTCAGGACTTGTAGGATTATTTCATCCACCGGGCTCTAGGACCACGCGGGGTAGTCCGCTTCTTGGCAGCGGCACGGCTCGGTCGGACTGTGAATTACATTACTGTGGCGTCATTGGCTTGGGAGTGCCTGAGGGACAGCACCACAAGCCAATGGAGAGCCGCTCTTCCCGGGAGGTCGCCCTGTGGGAACCAGTCAGGCCCGGGTTTGGATTTAACTCTTTAAAGGCAAGTTCGCGCTGCGTGAGAAAGTTGTTGGTAGTAAATGTGCCACGTCTTCGAAGAAGAGGGGGTCCTGAACTTGCCAGAGGCTGTTGTCCCTAAGCTTCCAACTGCATTCTTAACTCTTTGAAGTCGAGGACCCTTTGGCTGTTTATATAGGGACTTCTTTTCTACTTTGGCAACATGAGGCTTTTCTTGTGGAACGCGGTCTTGCCGCTGTTAGTCACTTCTTTAACCGGGGCTCTGATCCCTGAACCAGAAGTGAAAATTGAAGTTCTTCAGAAGCCATTCCTCTGCCATCGCAAGACCAAAGGAGGGGATTTGATGTTGGTCCACTATGAAGGCTTCTTAGAAAAGGACGGCTCCTTATTTCACTCCACGTAAGTAATTATGTCCCGCAGGCAAAATAATAAAAGAAGCCACCTACCCATGCCAGCTCTCCAGCAGGAAAGGTTCGTATACTTGGTTTTGGCTGTATTTTACAAAAACGGAAGCACATTATTTCTTTCTTTGGGGAAAAGAAATTGTTTAAAACTAATTTTATGTAAGGAGTGAGGTCTTTGAAGGTCTCACTGGAAACGTGGTCTGGATAAGGTTGTTACTTTTTTATTATAAAAATTAGAACTAGAATCTTTGAAATATTGCAGAAGTATCTAGGTGTGTAATTAGGCAATAAGTAAAAAAAAAAAAAAAACAACCAAACCTCAAAAGAATTCTTATGTCTCAAACTCCATTGCTTAGGGAAAATGACTCGATTCCATTTTAACTTTTCACGGCAACTTCAAGTGCAAAATATGAAATCACTTATTTGCCTGTTGAAGGATATACTAATGCTACTCCACTGACCTATTTAACTTTTGCTCTGACAGATGACATTTTTGGTCAAGGCACAGGACCGTGATTTCCATAGTAATTTGCTCTTTTCCAGAAAGTCAGACTTCATTGATGGGGTGGGTGTGGCTATGGAAATTTACATGAAGGATTTTCAGGTGGTTTCACTATCATTACTGTTCTATAAACAAAGAAACTGCAATAGGGAAAAGGTTTGTAAGTGTAACGATTTCCAATTAGGCATTGGTTCAGTTCATTCCATTCCAAAATAATTTCCTGGGCATTTATTTCCTTTGTGTTAGACCTTATGCAGAGTACTAGGGAGATTCAGAAATGTTGGCTTCTAATCATCCTTATCATTCATCTATCAAACTATTATTGAATGGTCACAAGTCAGTTTCCGGAGATGCAAAGCTGACTAGAAGCAAGTTCTTGTCCTCTAGCAATACACCATCTATAGTGGGGAGGAAGACAGGTAAATGATTAAATGATGCAGAGTACAGAATATTCAAAGAGATAACAAGCCTGGAATTCATTATTCCCTAGGAATGGGAAGAGAGAAAGACTTATAATTGAGATATTGAAATGGGCCTTGAAAGATGGGTGGAGGTTTGGGGGGGAGAATGAGGGATGTTGTAGGTAGAGGGAATGACATGAACTGCAACAGTGGAACTTCATGGCCTGTCCTAGAAATCATTTTCTGATCAACTGCCTTTATTGGGCATTCAGATCTGGTTTCTTGGGATTTGGGGGGTAGTGAACGACACTCTTCTCTGAACTCTGTTAGCCCTGGTAAAAAAGTTCTAGAAAAATGTCTTGCCTTAAAATTCTTGGCTGGGTGCAGTGGCTTATGCCTATAATACCAGCCCTTTGAGAGAATGAGGCAGGAGGATCCCTAGAGCCCAGGAATTTGAGACCAGCCTGGGCAACATAGCAAGACTTTGTCTCTATCAAAAAATTAAAAAATTAGCTGGGCATGGTGGTGCAGGCCTATAGTTCCAGCTACTTGGTATGCTGAAATGGAAGGATCACCTAAACCCAGGAGACTGAGGCTGTGATGAGGTGGGATCATGCCACTGCACTCCAGCCTGGGTGATAGAATAAGACTCCAGAAAACAAACAAAAAACTCTCGACAGCCCTTTCTTTTTGTTAGTATAAAAGGTGCCACAGGGGACATTAAACAATATTGTGATTTGCACTGAATATCCAATTACATCCTTATTTTTAGTCTGATCCCTTTTAAAACAGTCTGATTTCTTTCAGATTTCAGAACCAAAATCCTGTGCTGGGTGGTAGCCATGGGATATTATTCAGCAGTTTGCTACCAGTTCTAATACCTGATAAGGAGGCAAGGAGACTATTGAAATGTAGCCTCCACACAAATAGTCAGAAGCTGCTAACTCTGAATACTAAGAAGAAATACTATCAAATGATCAGTCTATAAAGCACACTTGCCATTTCTAGAACCATAGTCTATGGTAAATAGCTTAACCATTACAAGAAATGTGCTGAAACTGTAGTCAGTGATGGGTGGTAGATTGTTTCTCCTTCTTTTTGTCTTTCCTATCCTTCCCATATTTTCTACGTTTGGCATTTTGATCATGTGGCAAAATGATCCTGACTCTCCCTGTCTGTGTATATGGACCCACACATGTTGGCAGTAAATTCTCCTTAGCCTGTCAACCTTTTCCCCAGCTCAGCATTTTCCATTATTTTCTCCCTGCTCTGCAACCTAGTGGCTCTCCTGGGGCAGCATAACTTCGTGGATAAAACCTTTGACCTCTGGAGTTAGGTATATTTGAAATTAAAGACTGGCACCCTTAACCAGTGTTTTTCTTTCGTGCAATGGGGTGATAATGGTACTTACATCATAGGATCATTGTTAAAAGAGGCACAAAGTTTAGGATACCTAGTATACAGCAAATGCTCAAACAATTGTGAATTGTTATGATTTCCTTTGCCCTTCACCTGAGTCAACTGTGAAATTTGCATAAAGAAAAATGGGCAGTGAATTGAATTACTATAAAGTTGACTTGGGCAAGTGTGTGTGTAAATAAAGAACAGCTGTTTTCATTAATTTCCATGCTAATAGAATGAACTATTTATGGGTGGAAAAATATACTGACGCAATAAAAAAAAGTTACTAAAGAGTTCTAATGTGTTTTCTTTCTGTCATAGTCACAAACATAACAATGGTCAGCCCATTTGGTTTACCCTGGGCATCCTGGAGGCTCTCAAAGGTTGGGACCAGGGCTTGAAAGGAATGTGTGTAGGAGAGAAGAGAAAGCTCATCATTCCTCCTGCCCTGGGCTATGGAAAAGAAGGAAAAGGTAATGGCACTTCTATAGTTCTTACTATAGCATTAGAGTTCTGTGGATTAGGGCCAGACGTTATTACTGAGAAGTTATTACAGAGGCGTTACTGTGTATTTATTTTTCTATAAGTATGATGGCTTGTATAGTATAATATATGTTAATATATCATATTAATTATTATATAATAATTACTAAATTGTATAATATCTATTATATAAGATGGCTTGTATTCCTATAGGACAGTGGTCCCCAACGTTTTTGGTATCAGTTTTGTGGAAGACAGTTTTTCCATGGACCTGGGGTGGAGCGGGAGGGGGGGTGGTTTTGCGATGATTCAGGTGCATTACATATGCAAATATTGTGCACTTTATTTCTATTATTGTTACACTATAATATATAATGAAATAATCACACAACTTGCCATAATGTAGAATCAGTGGGAACCCTGAGCTTGTTTTCCTGTAATTAGACAGTCCCATCTGGTGGTGATGGGAGACAGTGACACTTGAAGTGTGTTGCTTATGTCCAGTCTACTCCATAATCTCATTTTGGTTGTTGTCACTGCAGAAAACCCTACTTCACAAAAATAGGATGTTGGAAATGTAAGCGGGCTTTTCAGTGCTAATCTGACAGGAGGTGGAGCTCAGGCTGTAATGTGTGCAATAAGGAGTGGCTATAAATACAGATGAAGCTTTTTGTTGACTCACCAGCTACTCACCTCCTGTGGTGCAGCTCTGTTCCTAACAAGCCACAGACCATTATCCATGGCCCAGGGGTTGGAGACCTCTACTATAGGAAATATAATTGTCTTGATTATCAATTGAAATGGTCAATTAAGGCCATAAAAGCTAACAATGAAAAAAGGTTCTGGAAGCTTGAACTCTATTAATATTGTTCACCAATATGGTGAGTTTTTAAAAACTGTGGTAAAATATACATAACGCATTATTTACCATTTGAACCATTTTTAAGTATGCGGTTCAGTGGCATTAAATGTGCAGTCATCATCACTATCCATCTTCAAACTTGTTCATCCTCCCAAACTGAAACTCAACAATTTGTTTTAAAAATGCAAGAGGAAACCGGGCTTAGTGGCTCAGCCTGTAATCCCGCGCCTCTGGGAGGCTGAGTTGAGTGGATTGCCTAAGCCCGCAGGTTCGAGACCCGCCTGGGCAGCGAGACTTCATCTCTACAATAAATAAAAAAATCAGCCGGGCGTGGTAGCGCATGCCTGTAATTCCGGCTACCTGGAAGGCTGAGGCGGAAGGATCGCCAGAGCCG